GTTCTGTTCTTCAAGTCTGATGAAAAATTGTCTTTTATGTGACGCTTAATCCCAAATCCGTCTAAAGCCTCAGTGAGCTCCAAGGCTGTCTCAGGTGATTTATTGCAGTCATCTTGCACCTGGGTGACACAGCTCCCCTTTCCCTAATCTATACTCTTCATCTTGAGGGTGGGGAGACCACCCCATGCTCACCCCGTCTGTCACCAGTGTGGATGCTCTTTCACACTGATTGGTCTTTGGACTTGATTTGACACTGATCCAAAGACGTAAGAGTGGTTCCAGTCAAAAACACTGAAGAGGACGAAACAAACGTGGTGCCTCAGATGGGCTGGTATTCTGAGCCGCAAAGGTTCAAACCTCACAGACAGTAAGTACGCTAACACAGAGAACATTCAAGAACACTGTTAATCCACGGTTCGTTCACTGAAGCAGGCACGTAGCACATTGCAGACTAGAATCTCTATAAAGCATCTACTTCAGGCTTAAATAGTATCTGTTGAATTTAAATTACTATTAAACTTGGAATTTCTCACAGCCAGCTGTAAATTAGCCAACTCATAAAAGGTAATTTCTTTTTCAACACCGGAGAAAAGAGTACTTTACTGCATTTTCATGTGCTTACTGTTGGTATTTTGGGTATAGGCATGGCTTTTCCTGTGTGTGTCTGTGCGTGCCTGTATGTGTGGAAACTAGAGGGTGACCTCAGGTGTCCTTTGTCCCTCAGGCACAGGCTACCATTTGTTTGAGACAGGGTCTCTCACTGGCCTGGGTTTACAGGTAGGCTAGTCTGACTGGGTAGAGAGCTCCAGGGATCTGTCTGCCTTGACTTCCCCAGTGCTGGGATTACATGTGCATGCCACCATACTAACTTTTAGTTATGTAGTCTCTGGGGATGAAACTCGGGCCCTGTGCTTGCAAGGCAAGCCCTTTCCCACTTGATCTCTCTCCTTGGCCTAAACCTCAGGTTTTATTCTAAATCATATGTAATCACTGTTAGCGTGGAGCATAGAGCTAAAGAAGTAAAATCGGTTTACGAAGACATGAACCCTTCCCTACGAACAGACTACATTCTGTGGAAATTGTTAAAGTCAGTGTTTTTTTAATTTTTATTTAATTTTATGTGTATGAATGTAATGCCTGTGTGCATGTAAGTACACCTGTGTCATGCAATACCTATGGAGGTCAGAAGAGGGCATCAGATCTCCTGGAACTGGAGTTACAGATGGTTGTTGGCTGCCATGTGGGTGCTGGGAATAGAATCTGGGTCCTCAGCAAGAGTAGCCAGTGCTCCTAACCACTGAGCCATCTTCTCTCCAGTCCCAGAGTCAATGTCTCTTGATCATTTGAATGCTGTTGATCAGGAATCCCTCTTAAGTTTGGATTGCCACCAATAGTACTTAATAACTTGAACAGCATTCTGTAGATCTGAAATTCTGGTTAGTCCTATCAGTTCTGCTAAAATGGAGATTCACTTTTTAGACTGGGAAGTGGTTTGGAGTGTAGTCAGGCAAAGAAAAGGGCTTTCAAGGGAAAATCTTTCAATGGACACGTTACACAATTCAAACTCTGTATCTGCTACATTTAACCCAAATAGCGAATTTTCAGATCACAGACACGGTTCAGACTGAGCAGAGCCACCCAAATAATGCAAATGAGAATTTAATGGCTAGTTAGAAGGAATTCACAGCCATCACAGTGGAAGAATGATTTTGAAACCTCAGTCAATCTTTGCACTTGAAAACAGCAGAAATGAAAAAAATATTCCAACCTTGACTAGTAATATGGTCATTATTATTTTAGAAATGTTATCTTCTACCTTCCAAAAAATAGAGCGAAAATTTCTCTATGCTGCTAAGAAAGGAGAGAGACACATCTTTTGAATTTCAGCCATTCTAAGAATGACCAGGTTATTAACTTTTTATTGAAAGAGTCTAGGGAAGGGGTTTGAAACCAGAGACAGAAGAGGGGTCAGTCACACACTGCAGTCACCTGGACTTTGACCAAGGCGTCAGAAACGAAGGATAGCCTCTTGGACTAGCAGGGCCTAGTTAATGGGTAGTGCACATGGGCATCAGACTGTATTATTAGTTCTTGCTGCACACAAAAGTCAATATGAAGTGGATCAAAGACCTTAGGTTAGACCCAGAACTGAAACTGCTAGAGCCACACAGAGAAATCTCCTCACGGTGTAGACAGGTGAGGACTTTCTGCATAGGCCTCCAATCACGCAGGAAATGAAACTGGCAAATGGGATCAGGTGAAATGAAAAGTTTCTGCAGCCTACAGGGCAGAACATCTTTACCAACGGCACAGCTGACAGGATTGACAGCTGAAGTACACATAAAACTGAAAAAGCTAAACAGCCCTCACTGCATAATCTAACCAAGAAATAAACAAATGAAACGAATTGACAGTTCTCCAAAGATGAAGTAAATATGGTCAATAAAAACATGAAAAACACTGGACATTTTTATCCATCGGGGAAATGCAAATCAAGACTACCAATGAGATTTCATCTCACCCCAATCACAGTGGTTGCCATCGAGGAAAGAACAAGTAATTCTGGTGAGGATGTGGGGGAAAATGAAGCCTTTTACACTGTTAGTAAGGATGTAAATTAGTTTAGACACCATAGAAATCAGTACAAAGAAGCTCAAAGAACCAAAAACCAGAACTGCTGTAGGTCCCTGTTATACAGTTCCTGGGAATGTACAGCAGGGACTCTCAGCTTGCACAGAGATGTTGTTCACCACTGTTTACTGCAGCACTATTCAGAATAAGCAAATCATGAAATCAGCCTGGGTGTCTGTTGATAGATGATGGATATCTATATTAAATCATATATATCAGCCATAAAGATTGTCAGCCATAAAGAATAAAATTAGCTCAGTTGTAGGAAAATGGGTGGAACTAGAGATCATCATGTTAAGTGAAATAAGCCAGAGTTAGAAAGACAAATCCATGTTTGTTCTCACACACAGAACCTAGCATTTACGTATGTAGGATATATACATACAATGGTATGTATGCTGTGAATGATATGACAGTGGAAGACAGAACATGCAGCAAGAGAAAGTGGACTAGCAGGATGAACGGTGCAGTGTCAAAACACGGCCTAATTCAGTGAAAATGACATGATGAAATGCCTCACTTCACACAACGGATATACATCAATAAAAAATTAAAAAGGGGTCAAAAGGGATAAGACATAATGACAGAGAGCTTGATGAATACAGCATATATGATTTGATAATTTGGACTTTTATTAACAAATTTTAGAAACTAGATTGTTGTTCCAACTAAATCATCAAATATTTTAGTGTGATGAAATCAGCATAGTTCAGAATGTAAAAGCAGCAGATGGACCAGCATTTCCAACTGGTCTTTTCCTGCCTCACAGTCAGGGCTTATATGAAGATAGCTGTTCCAGCCATTGGCCAGAGAGGCTTCCACCTGTGGTTGACAGAAATTGCTAGCTAGTTCCTTCCTAGTGTGAAAAAGTCCACTTTTGGGGTCCAATTTCTTCTATCCTCTAGAGAAAAAGGAGGACAGGCAGGACAAAAGGACAAGATATCAAAGAGAGGCAATCAGATGGCTGAGAGGAGGGTAGGAAGGAAGGCATAGGAGGTCCCGCCTCGGGCTTCAGAATCCTGAGACAGGATAATTTAAGTTGTTTCTTTGTGGGGTGTGTGTGTGTGTGTGTGTGTGTGTGTGTGTGTGTGTGTGTGTATGTTCTCATGTATATGTGGGGACACATGTGTTCACCTGTGCCTACAAAGACTGAGGTTGGCTTTGGGTTCCTTCCTTGATCACCCCACCTTATATATTGACTCAGGATCTCTCAGATCTCCCAGAGTTCCCAGATTTGACTAGTCTAGCTGGTAGCTTGTTCCAGGATCTGTTGTCTCTGCCTCTTACACTGGGATTACAGGCTGGCCGCCATGCCTACTGGCTTTTACGTGAGTTCTGGGGATCTGAAGTCTGGACCGCACACTTGCATGGCAAGTGCTCCATCGACTGAGCCATTTCCCTAGCTGTCAAGTTTTTTTTTTCAGAAGTATATTGCATAATCAGAAATTGATCTAGGAGTTACTTTTGTAATAGGAGTAAGCAGAAAGGGGCTGAACCTGATTATAAATCAAAGATGAGTCAACAGCCTGTGGAAGTTTTATTCAAATTAATTTTTCTATTTCATCACCATTTAAATATTTTATGATGTCATTTAAAGTAGTTAAGTTTGGTGAGATCAAAGGTAGATCGTTTAATTATCACCAAATTATAATTTCCAATTGATTTAAATATGAGATTATCAAACACTAACGGTAGTAGGGCAGGTGATGTAGCTCAGGTTAAATGTGTATTGATCTAGGAAGTTAGGTAGTCCAGTTAGGTACCAGGCTGGCATGCCACGTAGCAGTGGCCCAGGCAGAGCTGGGAGGGCCACAGTTATCCACCAGAGGAGCCTGTCGTTCTTCTGCTAATGCTGTTTAGTTTTCTTGTAAAATTTGTTTTCTGTGTTCTTTTGTCTCTAAATGAACTTCACAGGCCTGGTGAATTGTATGTAGTCAGTCACCTTGTCCTAGCAATGAGTTGTGGTGTAATCATTGTGTTAAAGTAAGAAAACACTTTCCTAAATAACAATGAAGAATTCACAAATAAATCTTTGGAAAAAATTTCCCATAAATTTCCTGTATAACATTCTTTACCACATGCAAGTGTAAAGTCAAAACAAATACCCCCTCCCCACCCAGGAAATCTGACCACAAAATCACACCCAAACCCTTTTCCTTTCAAATAGTATAATTAAGTATTTATTTCTCTTTCTTTATTTTCATCAAACATGATCCTGGATTCTTTTCCCTGTGTGGAAATGTTTCAAACAACCTTCTAGGTTAGCTAGATTATTAAAGCACAACAAAATACAATTTTCTTAAAGCACTGTATTACAGAACACAATGTTTTTAAAAACTAAAGTTGTCAATAAGGAGTACATTTCTTACCTTGTCAGAAGGTTTGAATGGATTTCCTTGTCCGCTAATTCCGCCACTGATGCTAAATCCAAGCCCCGGGTTCTTTTCTATTCTCACGCAAAACTATGTAAGAAAGATACAAAAGGTTATCAAGTCACCATTAAAACTAAACACTTTCAAGTAAGATTCACATCTGACTTACATTTTCAGGGCGAGCCTATGCCGATCTGGTGTATGCCACAGGCAACATAAACTCAGAGGGTGCACTGTTTCTCTATACCTGTCATGACTGAAACAGGCTTGAGGTGTCCCAGTGTCAAGAGTTCACTTGCTGCTCTGTGCAGGACAGAATTCTGATGCCCAGGTTAGGGTTGGAACTAACAGCCTCAGGAGCACATTTGAGGTGATGCAGTGTCTGTCTACTGTAATTGTGACTTATAAAGGACTACAGGAATCACTGGGAGAGGGCTCTCAAATGCAGAGGCGGCAATTTAAATAAGATCAGGAAGGGCACCTCACCTCTTCAGAAGGTGATGATGATGTTTTATGATGTCAGGGTTTTTAGTTTGAGAAATGGGCCACAGATGGAGTGGGGCTGAAATGATGCTGGGGTTAGTGCTGAGTGACAGGGGTTGGATTTGGCAGCAGCTGCTGGAGCAGGAGTTAGAGGTCTCGAAAGAAAAAGGGCTCTGTGAAGAGGTCAGAGAGCCTGGTCCAGAAGACAGACATGGGATGGCAACAGTGTGGGCTGTGGGGATTGTGTCCTAATGATCTGTGCTGTTACGTCCCCAGGCAGCAGCAAGATGTGTGCATTAGGTGCATGGTCCACCTGGGCCGAAGCTACAGTGGAAGGAATTATTTACATTAGTACAGAGTGTAGCTCAAATGTTCAGCAGAAAGGAAGTCAGCGCCAGGATGACCTGGGGACACCCTGACAGACAGAAGAGCTCACAGTGATCCTGAGCTGAGGCCACGTGGAGACTGAGCAAAACACTGGCTTTGCATTTGGAGGGCTAAAGAGTGACACAGATGATTGGCAGCCTTGGGACCAAGAGGTAGCACCCTGTGGTTAGATAAAGAGAAAAGTTTCATGAATGCGAAGTAGAGAAGCAGCGCTGGAATGAGGGGGTGTCAGAGGTAGCAGGCAGATGACTGATGGAGGCAAAAAGAAAAGTCCCAAGGACCAGCCTGTGCTCTGTATGAAATAAACACACAACAGAAAAGTTCTTAAAGATGACCGGACCCACTGGCTTTCTGGGCAGTGATCCTGTCCAGCCTGTGGCCCTGCTAATCTGGATGGTCAGAGCACATGCTTGACCACACACTTCCAAGCTCTCCTCTTAGATGGTTCAAGGTAAATGTGAATCGTGTGTCAGAGTTATCTAAGACGCACTCAGCTGGAACTTGGTGAACTAGGCTTGCGGGTTTGGTGGCACCATCGTAGGCACTGTCCAATTTCCTAACGGTGAAGGTGATGTCTAAATGTCACTTGGTTACTCACAACACAGGGCAAAAATCCATCCCTGGATATGATTTTATGGTTAATTCTTCAGTGAGTAATTTCTTCTTTGTTTTTTTTTTTTTTGGTCTTTTTGAGACAGGGTCTCTCTGTAGCCCCAGTTGGCCTGGAACTCACTATGTAGACTAGACTGGCCTCAGACTCACAGAGATCCACCTGCCTCTACCTCCTGAGTGCTGAGATTAAAGGCATGCACCACCACCCTGGCCAAAAGACATCTTTTTTTTTTCTTCCTTTTTTCTTTTTTTTGGGTTCTTTTGAGACAGGGTCTCCTTGTAGCCTCAGGCATCTGACCTGGTACTTGCTATATAGACAAGACTGGCCTTGAACTCACAGTAATCCACCTGCCTCTGCCTCCCAAGTATTGGGATTAAAGGTGTGTGACACCATGTGGGCCCAGCTAATTTCTTCTTTTTAAAAAATATTTTTATTATTTTTTTTTGTGTGTATGAGTATAGTGCCTCATGCAATGCCCGCAGAGGTCAAGATGGTGTCAGATCCCCTGGAAATGGAGTTACGGATGGCTGTTAGCCTCCATGTGGGTATTGGAAATTGAACCCAGGTCATCTGCAAGAGCAGTTGGTCCTGTTAACTGCTGAGTCATCTCTCTAGCCCCTTCAGTGAATCATTTCTGAATTATGGGTAAATACAGTTGCCCAAAGTACATTTCTACTTTAAAGATACCCCTAATTACAACTTTTCCCTCAATTGAGCCAGATCTGTTAGACTAGTTTTCATAAGGTAGTAGAAATTAGAGCTTATAATAGTTTGTAACTATGGTGTGAACACAGAACAGTTCAGTGTAGCTGGAGGGAATATTTTAGCTTTATTCAATGTAGCACTTTGCCTCTTTGATATTATTTATTAATTAGAAAATGAGAAAAGAGCAGTCCATGTAATTGGAACATTTTTGCACTTTCCCCATAGATGCACTTTTCTAAATGTTATAGTAAGCAAAGTCATTGTCAAAAGACTAATGTTGCATGTTGATTCTATGTACATGAAATCATGTATGTTCATATAACATAAAAGTAGGAACAAAACTGTTTAGGGGAACAAAATGGGTCATGAGAAGGGAGGTGCAAAAGGGGAACGAGCCATGTGGAGGCGTATATTCAGTGTATCATGTACTTGTATGAAAATGTCCTTATGAAACTATAGCATGATGTATGATGAAATAAGTATGTGTGTATATATATTATTTGTACAACAACCACAAATTGAATTCTATCTTCTGTGGAGGTTTTACATGAATAACATGGAAGACATGGATTTCTGGGTTCCCTTGGGCCACTATAAAACCCACAAGAATGGAGCAAATTTCCTTTATGCAGAAAATTTCCATGAGGAGTCTGCAGTCATCCTTTTCCAAGGTAGTGACTATATCTATTTTATGTTATTGTAAATCTGGACTGTGCTAAATATCTAAGGAAAGCAAATGCCACACATGCCAGGTCTGAGAAGAGCTGTCTCAGTGTATTTTAAATGGCAGGGACAGTAAAGATGACACCGGTTTTATAAATTTGACAGACATCAACTGCAATCTGGTGCCACATCCCCCAGACTGGCTCAGGTGTGATGGATCAGCTGAGTCATGACTGGGGTCTCCTGCAGCCTGTGGGAGAGAGGCCTCCTCTGGCTGGGGAGGGGTTGCAGTTGCCTGCAGAAGTCCACAGGGGAGCAAACCTCACAAGCAAGAGAGACGGAAAGGAAGGAGCAAATAAGAATTCACTGTTCCTGAGAAAAGCCCAGGGGTCCAATACAGAGCTTATTTAGCAAAAATCAGTGTTTCAATTTCCGCTTAAGAGACAAAATGAAATTCAGGCTGAAATGCAGCAGCGGCCTGTCAGTCAGTGATGTGATTGCATTTCAGCCTACAACAGTCACACTGCTTGGCTGGATACTTCTGGTCTGTGCTGTCTCACTTTAATGAAAAAATACAGATCTTAAAAGATAATAATTTAGTTAATACAGGAAGTACACAACGAATGTCTGGAACAGATGTTATTTACTCAGACACATTCAGAGATGACTTATACCCTACCCGGCCCTTTCCTAAAGTTCTGCTCTTTTAAAATATTTTCCCATACATTTTAGGCTCGGTCCCCAGAATCATGCTTCAGTGCTAATTTTTAATTCAGTTTGACAAAGAACATGAAGCTCAACACAGTGAGTCGATTCTGTTAGCTGCGTGCAGTTGCGTGGCAGACTGTCTGCTCTAGGGCACATATCAGTGCTTCTCCCCCTCCATGTGAACTTACTTGTGACTGTGTATTGGGCTGTAACAAGGCAGGCTGCAACGTGTAATACAGAAAACTCACAAGACTGGGTCCTGACTTCAGCTCGGCTTCTAAGCTGCTATTTCACCAGTCAAGGACTTAATTTCTCTTAGTCATAAAATAGAAGTAGACCAGATCACAGAAGTGTCAATTAGATGGTACCAGTTAATTCCTAAGAGGGTTTTGGGAGGTCTCAGGCATCACGCTATAGCTTTTTAAAACCTCCTCGTTGTGCTTTGGCCTCTCCGTGCTCTACGTTGTAAACACATCTGCCTCAGATTAGAAATGTACTTAAGGAAAGAACCAGCACTCCATGAGTTTTTTATTTTTTTAATTAAGAAAATATTTTATTTTTTAAAATTTTACGTGTATTGCCTGCATGTATGGAAGTGCACCTGTGTCATGCAATACCCTTGGAAGTCAGAAGAGGCTGTCCGATCCCCTGGAACTGGAGTTACAGACAGTTGTTAGCTGCCACAGGTGCTGGGATTCGAACCCGATTTTCCATAAGTGTTTCCTTAGTGTTCTGAACTGCTGAGCCATCATCTCTCCAGCCCCCCATGAGTTTCTTT